TGATGCGCGCAGACAAGGTCACTAAATATGGCAGCCACCACGCCCTTTCCACGCAACTGTCAACTGGCCGGCTCGGATAGTGATTGGGGCCTGGGAATGGGAAGAGGGAGTGGGGTCAACGACTCAGCACGTTTTCCTCGCTATGCAAAAAAATCCGACGCGCTTAAAGCTATCACGGTGCACCAAAGGCCGTGGCTTGAAAGGTTGCCAACTGACGGGATAGCTTGGACCTCTCAGTCGGTCCACTGTTGCGTGTTTGTGTGGAGTGGCCGACTGGTGATCTAAGAGTCAGGCTGAAATAGCTCTTCCTTAATGTGGTTTTTGTGAAACTCCTAATCTGTGGGATCCAAGCCAGGTGTGACGGCACGCCTAGGTGTGACTTCGGCCGCGCCAGCCACTTTTGTCGTTGTTGGCTAAAATCCCGGTCATTTGCTGAGTCAACCAAGGGGTGTGGAGTGGAACGCCAAGGTGCGGGCTCGACTGTGGCATCCACCTGCGCCCGTTCCCCGCCTCCGGTCCTCTTGCCTCTGTCCTGACACTGGATCCGGATGGGAAAGGATGAGAGAGTGCGGTAGGTGCTGTGCAAGTCTACCACCACTATAAACTAATTCGAGCACAAGTCCCCGTGACTGTTCCCCCTTGCTGTGGAGCATACGGTGGACATCGTCGGAAACGCCGGTCCAAGTATCGTATGGGTAGTGCTTCTCGGGCTACGACTGACTGGTTACTTAATCTTTGATGGTTGGTGGCCCAGTCTAAATGCAGGACTGCATTTCACCCGTCTGAGCTTTATGAAAAGCAAGCGTCTGCTATGCCAGGTTCAGCAAACTATGGCCCTTGCAGCCTGGTGTGCGTTGGCAGTTCTCTGGCACCTGGTTGCCTGACAGTAAATAGACTTATGCTCCGCTGGGTATACAGGTCGTGAACATGGCTGCCCAGGCATCTATGTCGTCTTTAGGACCGGTTGTGGTGCCGCTGTTGTTGGTTAAAATCCTAGTCGAGTTTCTGGACAAGGGGTGTGGTGGTGTTCCTAAGTGCGGGTTCGGCCGTGCCAGCCACCTACACCATTCCTCACCTCCGGTCTTCTTGACTATGCCTTGACACCGGGCCCAGGTGATGGGAAGGAGAGGGTTCAGTAGATGCTGCACAAACCTGCCATGACTACAAACTGATTCACGCGAAAGTCGTCATGCCTGCTTCAATTGCTGTGGAGTACACGTTGGACATCATCAGTTGCGACGATCGAAATGTTACACGGAATACCAAATATTATCATTCTGCTCGCTGTTGAACAGTTTTCTAACCCCCCCTAGATAATCCTTTCCATTGAGAATCATATAAAATATCCGGCCAATTTTGTATGGGCTTAATCGAGTACTGTACATTTCGATGTAACATTATGTCAAAGTTAGACACCCAGGACATCATCTATCATCCTTGGCAGTTTATTAAAATCGTTCACTTCAATTCCAACACTTGAGCTTGAAAAGCGCCTTTTGTATCTGTCCCTGGTACTTATCGCTTACTGACTACTCGTCACTGTTCAAGCGTCCGCGATATCTGTGAATAAGAACTCCA